AATAAAATTTAAAGTTTCTAAAAAACAAATGTTATTTTTTTCCACAAATTATGTTTTTCATTATAATAAACTGTTTCTAATTAAAAAAAGTAAAAAATTTTGGTTTTAGAGGTTTTGGCTAGAAAATGTCACTTTTGACCCACTGTGCAGCGTAAGGAAAATGAGTTCCAGATTGGCACTAAGTTAAATAGTGAAATAGTTTAATAGTAATGGAAATAAATCTGAAAAACTATTTGGACCGCAAACTGATTAAAGAGTAAGTAACTGTAAGTTTAGCAACTGAAGCAGTAGTATTGCAAATGTCTAATAATGGATTAACTTGTTTCTTTGGGATGGTAAGAAGAGTGTGACTAATAGATTAAAAAGATGAGTTAGAGGCAAAAATATTTTTAAATTTGTGCCTTTTCTTTGAGAGAGGTAATAAGATCAGGTTTATGGTTTCTTGCGGAAAAGATAAATATAATTACTATTAAAAATAACAGCTACACAAGATCTTAAAAAATCATGGAATAGAAGCTTAATTTAATTGGAATAGAGGCTTGATTTGAAACCGAAAAGGAATAAAAGCTTCCTTGCCTGAATCTAGAAGATAAAAAAAGAAAGTTGAGTTTAAGTTAGTCTTATAATAAGTACGTAGGTTGGATAAATTTTGCAAGAGGCGGTATATAACAAGTTTGAAAGGTTACTGAAAAGACCACGGCGTTTTTAAAGGATATTTTTTAATATTTTTTAAAAGCAGAATTTTATCCTCTTTAAAATGGTATATGAATCTCATTAGTTTAATTTATATATAGTCTTTTATTTCTCATTTTTATATAGTGGTATATAATGTTTTCCTTTACATTTTTGTTTTTGACGTTTTTCTTCATTTGCGAATACAATTGAAGTTGACTGAAAAAACAATCAACTCAATGCAAACCTATTATGGAAAAGCTATAAGAAAAAACTTAAACAATGTCTATGCCATGAAAAAAGTAATCGGCTCAGAGTTGTTTCACTTTACTGTGTTTACCGATGAGAAACAGCAGCATGAAATGTGTTCACGCGATGACACTTCTTGGTGCAAATGGCAGTTAGATTAGACTAATAAGACAAAAACATTCAAAAAGACCATAAGTTTACTAATGTCCATTCATTACCTTTTAAAACCGATCTTTGTAATTTTATCAGACGACGAATTATTGATCAAATGCGTTCACGGGCAAACTCAAAACATTAATGAATCGTTTAACTCAGTTGTATGGACTCGATGTCCCAAAAATGTTTTTTTTGAACGAAGAACATTCGAATGTTCAATTAACTCAGCTATTTTACATTATAATGATGGGAGTTGCAGGGTGAATGCAGTTTTTTTTTTAGGACATTTTGGCTTACATGGAAAAGCAACCGCTGAAGAATCTATTGCACGAGATCGCCAACGTGTTACTAGAATGGAAAAGCGATCAAGTCCAATCGTTAAAAAACAAAGAAAAAAATTAAGAGCAGTCAAAAAAGAGTACATGGATAAAAAGAATGAAAGTGAAAAGTGTGAATCTTATGCTGCTGGTGGTTTTAACATCTTTTTCTTATTATTTTAGACAAAAACTTGATTTTCTCATGTTTATGGTTTTACATAATTTTTAAAATTTCGAAACATGATATCTCAAGATTGAATGGATGAAATAAGATGAAATTTTCAGGAAATACTCATATATTATATATAATCCATAAATCATAGACTTTTCGTAAAATTTATGCAAATAATACTATGTTTTAAACACTCTTTTTTCTAAAAGAGGCATAATTTTTGACTAAGTGAGTCAATCAAAAAATTGATTTGTCAAATGGATTTTACCATCATCCTGAAGCTATGTTGAAAATTTGAAGTAGTAACTATCTTCATATCTGCAGATATTGTGTTTTAAATTACAGTCGACTCTCGATATCTCGAATACTTAATATCTCGAACTTTTGAGTATCTCGAACTTTTTTAGCAGTCCCATGGACATAACGTACTAGTTTAGGCTAAAATACTCTCGATATCTCGAACTTTAATATCTCAAACTTTTTGGTATCTCGAACAAAATTTTCGGTCCACAGGGCAATTTTCCCTCGTTATCTCGAACTTTTCAACATTTTTTTTTTCAAAAATGTTTTAATAAAATTTAATTTTTTTAAATTCCAATTTTCGAAAAAAAAAAATTTTATTTCAATTTTTAAATTCAATTTTTTTTAAAAATTGAATTTCTGAAAAATTTTCCTTTAATATATTAATTTATTCTTTTTGTCAAACGCAACAACATGTTGCTCGTTAAACGAAAACTCACGAACAAATCTATAATAGAAAAATGCAAGGCATTAAAAGACCTAGAGACAGGGATGTCTAACAAAGAGGTTGCCAAAAAGTATGGAGTTCCAAAGAACACATTATCAACCTGGATTAAAAATAAAACCAAGTTATTAACCTCACTGGAAAAAAATGGCACAAAATCTAAACGGAAGAAACTTCGTAGTGGTAATTTCAAAAAGGAGACAAGGCCATATACACGTGGTTCGTTGCAAAAAGAAGTGAACAAGTACCAATTAATGGTACCATACTAAAAGAAAAGGCACTAAAATTCGCAGAAGCATTAGGAGAGTTGGATTTTAAAGCATCTGATTGTTGGTTTCATAATTGGAAAGAAAGGTCAGTTAAATTTTGTCAAATCTTGTTCAATTTTAATATAAACAAATAACATGTATCTGTTTATATTTAATTTATTAAAATTTTTAAACGTGTAATTAAAATTCAATTATACAAATAATATGACTGCTTCGTGGAATGAAACTACACTTCCAACATTGCTTTTGAATTACAAACTTGAAAAAATTTTCAATGCCGATGAGTTTGGACTATTTTACCAGTGCCTATCAAACAAAACATACCATTTATCACGAGAAAAATGTTTTGGGGGAAAAAATAGTAAAGTCAGACTAACGGGCATAGCAGCAGGGAGTGCAACGGGAGAAAAATTACCTATGTTTGTTATTGGAAAATCTAAAAACCCACGGTGTTTTAAGCACATTAAAAAACTTCCTTGCACATATAAAAATCAGCTAAAAAGTTGGGTAACCGGAGACCTTTTTACAGAATGGGTAATGAAACTTGACTCATTTTTTCGTGCTCAAGACAGGAAAGTAGCACTCCTGGTGGATAACTGTTCTGCCCACCCACACATTGAAGGGCTAAGCAACATCAACCTAATATTTCCCACCCCCCTCCCTAACACCACATCTGTCCTTCAACCCATGGATCAAGGCGTAATACGAAGTCTTAAAGCTCATCGTCACAAAATTGTGCGTTTGTGTATCAAGGCTGTTGATAATAACGAACCCAAAAATTACTATACTTCAAGCAATGAAAGATCTTGTTTCTTCGTGAAATACTGTGTCGATGGAGACTGTCATCAACTGCTTTAAAAAAGCTGGTATCAGCAAAACAAACAAGAGTATTGAAGAAGCTGATGATGATCATCTTTTTAAATTTTTGACAGAAGAACTTAACCGCTTGCGAGAGTTAGATCCTCGTGCCGTCCAAGAAGATCTCTTAGCGGAATCTTACATTGGTTTAGATTGCAATGTAATAACCACCAGTTCACTTGCAACTGATGCTGAAATCATTACTCAGATTTTAGACCCTAATTTTGAAAACGACGATAATCAAGTTGAAGATAGCGTTGACGAAGCTATTGACGTCGAAGCCCCGCCACGCCCATCTGATACTCAATTAGAAATTGCTTTTGAAACAATTCAAAATGCTTCGCTATACAGCTTAAAATACGGAAATGAACTACAATCCCTAGCACTAAAACTTGAGGATTTAATGAAGACGGAAAAGATGGATAATTTAAATATCAGATAACAGATTTTTTCCAAAAGCTGTAGTTTTTGTTGTTAATGATTTTTGTCAGAAAAATAACTTGTTTTAATGAAAGTCGGATAATTTTATTTATTTTCAACCCTTTTCTTGATATCTCGAACTCTCGATATCTCGAACTTTTTTTCCGGTCCCCTTAGTGTTCGAGATATCGAGAGTCGACTGTATTGTATTTTTTTGTCTCATTTTAGCGATAGTTTAGGGTATTCGAGGCAAATTAATTGTTTGGTGTGTTTGAAATATTTTTTAACTTGAGACCAGTCATATATACCAAAATTTGGTTAATTAAGTTCACAGGGTAAAAAAAAAGTATTTATTTCTTGGGCAACCCCCTTAAACAATTTGGTGATTATGATGGATTTTTGTTTATTTTTAGGTACTTTATTTATGTTTTTAATAATTGACATGACATCCAAAATATTTCGCTTTGCGGTTGTCTAATTACGCTAACCAATCTTAGGTTTGAAATTACACACCAAAAGCAAAAACAGGGACACTTTTAATATGCAACATGGCACTATTAATACTCTATTATTTTACACGTGTTAATAGAATCAGTGTCTGAAAGCTACCACAGATTTCGGGAAACCTTACTGCAAGACATCTTTAGAACCTTTATACTGAGTTTTAAAGCTGAACCCTCATCAAAAGATAACAGGAAAAAAGCTGCGAGGCTTGTTGTGAAAGACTTCCTGTTTATCCCATAAGTCTTTGATAAGTAGAGTTTCTACAGGTGGATCCAGTTAACTTTTACCCAGTATGAGTATTTTTAATTGAAACCCTTTCTCTAGCTTATACTCAATAAAGAGCCCCAAGGTAGTATTTTAAGTTAATTTCTTCTACCCTTTGCCTATAAAATCTTACAATGCAGCAGGACAAGTGAGAGTTTATACTGATTTACATGTAACTAGTGTGATCATGTTCTGACCTTTTTAAAGTTTGTTAATTAAGAGTTAATTTCTTCTAGCCTTTGCCTATAAAATCTTACAATGCAGCAGGTCAAGTGAGAGTTTATACTGATTTACATGTAACTAGTGTGATCATGTTCTGACCTTTTTAAAGTTTGTTTTACATTTATTTTTCAAATAATTTTTTTTCTTTTCAGGTATTTACGCTCGTGGACCTCAGGCGCATTTAGTTTCAGGAGTTGTTGAGCAAAACTATATATTTCACGTTATGGACTATGCACTTTGTTTGACTGAAGAAAAGAAGTACATATGTAAACAAGAAGGATTAATTTAAGTTTGAAGTTATTTTTTGTAGCTTATATATTTTTAAGTTTATAATTCAGAAAAGGCAAAGTTTTTGTAAAACGTTTTTGTTTATACTTTCGTTTGTTTTTGTCATTTAAAGAACACCTTAATTTTTAAACTTTTTTGCCAATTTTTTTACTACTGAAATAAAAAAAAAACTTCTAAGCAAGAAACAAAATTTTTTTAAAATGTTAACTGTATTTTTTGAATTTAATGACAATTGTTTTATCGATCTAATGGATTTTATGGGATTCCAAATCGTCAATACTGTCTTCATCATCAGACTTGATGATGAATTGGTCTTACCATCTTCAATGCACATTGATTTACCACATACCAATATCGTAACAACTTTACTTATACGGCCTTGTTTTAGCTTTGTTGTGTTGCAAATGCTTTTGTCAGAAATGCTTTTTTTCTTGCATTTAAAGTACAACTCAGTTTTTTTTTTTTTTTCTTTCTTTGTCTTCATTTCCCCTTTTTTTTCCTTTGAGTTGTTAATAAACACTACAAGTTTAGACACATCTTGACCTTTAATGAAACCATGCTTGAAGTTGCATATTTGGATTGTCAATAGACCTGATGTTTCTTTAAGAATACTGATTTTTCATGTAAGTCTGCCCAGCGGGCATTATTTTTTAAAAGTTACTTTCTAAATGTATTTAAAAGGTCTTTTAAACGTCTTTTAAACATTCTTAAGTAAAGAACGTTTAAAAGACGTTTAAAAAACGTTTAAAAGACATTTAAAACTTTTAAAAACAAATGTCCGCAAGGTGTATTGATGTCCTTCAGTACGAACAAAATATTACTAGTATATTATTAAATATAACTAGTATATTACTATATATATATATATATATATATATATATATATATATATATATATATATATATATATATATATATATATATATATATATATATATATATATATATATATATATATATATATATACATATATATATATATATATATATATATATATATATATATATATATATATATATATATATATATATATATATATATATATATATATATATATATATATATATATATATATATATATATATATATGTATCATTTTGCAAATATTTGCAACGTTTAAACTTTCATTAGATATACCGGCTTTCTTACCAGCTTTTCGTATCATTCTAGCTGAATAATATATTATATAACTAGATGTCTAACTTGCGTGATTTTATTGAACAAAAAGGGAAGCCGCTTTTTTTTGTTTATAACAATTGTCCGCCATTTGTAAAACAGGCAAATGCTGAAGCCGAATTGTTGAATAAAAGTTAAAAATGCACGATAAAAATTCCCAATAAATTGCAGATAATTCAAAAATACGCTTTAACAATTATAAAATACTTTTAAAAAATTTTTTATAAGCCTATGTTTATTAAAAAGTTTTTTAGTTCATAAAAATGCTTCAAAATAATAAGACGTTTTACTTTTCTATTTAAAACTTTAAAACTTTTTTAATCGAAAATAAATTAAGGAATCGTAATTTATTATTTTACAAGTATAATTTTTTCCGCTAAACACTTTTACGTAAATAGTATTTAAATTTAAAATATATTTACTTCATTTAAAAAAAGAAAAGTTAAAAATATTTGTTTACAAATTTTATCCGCCATTTGTAAAAAGGCAAAAAGCGGCTTCACTTTTCGTTATGAAGTTAGAGATCTAGTTATATAATATGCCATTGTTCTAGCGTGATACACTTGTATCACACACTTGCAGGAGACAACATAAAAGCTTGTCTAATTATTGCTTGATGTTAATTTAACAAGTGTTTTATTTTTGCATTTACATTTGCTTATGAAGCACCTTGTTGATTTGATTGAGTAGTTGCGTAACTCCAGAAGTGTCTTGAAATGATATATAAATATATTTCTTTCTCTAAGAAATCAAAAAAAGTAGAATGGAAGCAAAAATTGTGACCATCGCTTAGTAGAACAAGAGGGCGAAGGTTTTACTATCAAGTACCGATCAAAATAATTTATAAAATGCAAGTAAGGATTTGTGATCTTGTGGTCCATTCTCTGTTTTCAAAAATAATAAGTTCGAAATACTTCGAAAAGCATCCAGTTGTACCATCTGAATTGTATTTGCTTGAGTACCAAATATTACCATTTTTCACCCAAATATAAGCGTAGAAAGTGATTTTAAATTTTCAAGTTATAAAATTCGTATGATGTCTTAAAAAGTATATATTTTTTAATTTCTCTTTTTTTTTTTTATTTTTATTTTATTTTTTGGCAATATCTACCGTAATCATGTGGGTACACGGGTGGCTCTGGCCCATTTTACACATCAATGCATATTTCATGAAAGCCATAAAATATATTTTCTCAAACATCATTTAGTTTTGTTTCGTTTTTGAATAAAATGAATTGTTTCTGACTGAGGGATTAATAGTGACCACTTCAAGTTAATTTCTGTTGCTCAATATTTTCTAAGTTTGTTCAACCGCATAAAATGTCTATTAAGTAATTAATTACAATTATGTTAGTTGCAATAATTACAAAAAGTAATTGAACTAAATGTTCAAATTTACAAACAAACCTGTCTAGGATATAACTCTCCGTAGCATTGAAAGTTACATAACAATCCTCTACTACGATGTGTACCAAATTTAATAGCAAAAAAAAAAGGTTGAAAAATATTGACACAAAACATTTAATGCCCTAATAATAGGGAAAATATTTTTTCAGAACATGTGTCAACCGAGTATTTAAAAGATGTAGAACTACAGCAAACTTTCGATATCTTGAACCTTTAAAGGACCAAGAAAATAGTTCGAGTTAGCGAATGTTCAAGTTATCGTGACATTCTATAACACAAACGTGACATTCTATAACACAAACTTTTGCCGATAAGTAGAAACAATTCGAGTTATCAAAGGTTTTTATATTAAATGTAAAAACATAACATTGTAAATTAAAAACTGTTCTAATACCTTTCTGTCTTTATAAATCTATCATGTCACTCTATCGAATATAATTGAGACTGCATTGATCGTTTGTTAAAAATCTTCACTACTAAGACTCAAGGGCATATAGTCATACAAAACTCCAGATCTTTTAATGTTATATTATTTGCTGATGATTCAAATTTTTTTTTTATTCAAATAGTAATATAAAAGATCTGTTTAGAGTATCAAACGAAGAATTAAAAATAAATGACTCGATTACAATTAATAAATTTTCATTAAATGTTGGGAAAACTAAATTTATCTTATTCCACAAACCTAATAGGGAAGATAACCTTTCTTTAAAATTACCCAATCTCTTTATGAATAAAACAATTATTAAAATAGAGAGTCAACGGTTAACTTTCTAAGAGTGATTATAGATGAAAATATATGATGGAAATATCATATTAAAACAAAATTATCTCAATGTTACATGAAGTTAAATCATTTCTTAAGATTGAGTCTTTAAAAATTATACATTTTTTATTTATATATAGTTATTTTTCCTATAGCAATATTGCATAGGAAAGTACTAATTATGCGAAGGTTAATAACAATCTATAACAAAACGAAAACATGCAAGTAGAATTATATTTGTACCAAGATATACTTCTAATGTTTAAGACAAAATATGGTTTATCTCCTAATATATTTCACTCTCACTTCACCAAAATTACTCATTAATACCCCACAGAGTATTCAACTAATAGTTTTATTGTTTCAAGATCTTATTTAAAATACGGTTTGTTTCAAATTCAATACCGTGGACCATTTATATGGAAAACTTTTTTGAAAAATATTATTTAAAAATAAAAATCTTCTAAAATTCTCACTAGAACAATTCAAAAGAGAATCTAAACAATTTATATTAGATAATTACTTCGATCTTTTTTTTAAATAAGTATTTTTTAAAATAGTAATAGTAATAGTAATAGTAATATATTTAAATAAATGTTTATAGATTACATGACAAATAAAAAAAAACAATAAAATAAACAGATTAAAAAAGAAAGTATTTTTATATTTTTTTTATTATTACTTTTTGATTTCATTTAATTACAGTTTACGTTTATGACAAATGTACCTAAAAGGTCAAAATTTGTAGCTGCTAAAGCACGAATTAATTAATTTAAATGTGCATCTCATCTTCAGTAAAAGATGCACTGTTTGCAGCTATAGGAAAAAAATGCTTGTCAATTCTACTTTTGAATGGGCTAATTGACGGAGCCTTTTTGCATGTTTGCAATTGTGATTTACTATCTTCAACCTGTAAATTTGTAACTTTTAATTTTTACTTGTTATATAAACTGAAGGCGACAATGTAAACGGAGCTCAGCGATAAGACAATATACGTCTTCTTTTTGTTCCGGCCATTTATTATACGTGTACAATTTTTTTTCTCGTAAATTTTATTAAACAGCAAAGGAAATAAATTAAAAAAAAAAAGACTTGCAGTGCTTCCCGAATTTCAGTAACTTTTGGAAAAATTGAATCATCATCATTATCTTCTTTGTCATCAGCATCATGCCCATTTGCTGCATCCTTTACCTCTCCTATCAACTGTTCACCTTTTAGTAAAGGTATTGTGCTCATTAAGTTTTCATCTGCAGAAATGACATTTCCAGCAGTTGTACCTGGAGGTTAAAAATTATCTAATTATTTAATGGGTTGTCGTTTGCATTCAAATAGGCAGATTTCTACTGGCCTTCTGATTTTGCAAAACAATTGAAGATAGTTGGAGATTTTCACTTTTTCTCATGCAAGGTCAAGCATTTTTATTGCATCTAAAATCAAAAAAAATAGGAAAATATATATTTTTTTCTATTTGTTTCTAAGTTGCTACTTGTTTTGTTTACTAAACACTAAACCAAATAAAAATATATATTTTTTTAGTTTTGTTTGTTGTGTCTTAACTAAACATTGAAACTAGTTTTAGAACGTACATCAATATAGAATGCAACCATATAATTGGTATTTCCATTAAAATTAAATCTAGCTTTAATTTCAGGTTGTAGTAAAGATATAACTTTTAAAAAAAGTTTAGAGTTTTAAGTTTAGAGTTTTTTGTGCTATATCTATCTATAGCAACATCTGAACCCTTTAGTAATGCAAGATATACCTGAGCTGGTTATTTGTTTAGTCTTTTTGTTTGAAAAGTACTATTATATATAGCTAAAACATATTAAAATAATTTGATGTAAATAGTGTCTGTTGTGACACGACCTAGTCATAACTAAAATAAAAACACCTTAGCGTAATCTACAAATAATCACTAAAGTTATTTCATAACAGTTTTTTTCCACGTAATTTAACTTTACTTTAGCCTTGGCTAAAGTTACCCCAAAGACAAAAAATGAGCCAAAGACAAAAAATGTTTTTTTTTTTTTTTTTTATAACTTTAATTGGTTACAAAAACGTTTTTATCATAACTTACAAAAAAGTTTCAAATCTATATGTTTCCAAAACAAGTTAGAATCATTCACTAATGGTTTTAATTTAATTTGAAGCATATATCAGTGAAAACGCTCACTTCACAAGAAAATGCTATAAAAGTAAAAGTATTTGGATTTTAAGTGCTCAAGACGCATCTGGTTCCGTTCAAATTGACTTATCTTTGATCTTCAACCGCGATGAAACACCAATTTCTTAATTACTCTGTTAATTGTTAAACACTGTTAATTACGTTCATGGTTCAGCTAGCAGTTTAGTATATCATGGAAGTGGTGAAAACTGAAAAAAATAATTGATACATAGCATGAATAACGTTTGAAAACAACTGAATCTATTTGATTTTTAAATGGTATGTGTTGATTTAAAGTAACACATAGTAACTTAACTCTGAGTTTGATTAGAAATTTATTTTAATTTTTCGGTAACAACACCTAAAGCCTTGTCAGCTTTAGGAAAGGTGAATAATATTATATTTCTAGTAAAGGAATTATAAATTTAAGAACTTTTAAGTCCACCTTTATGTAGAATGCTTTCTTGTGATCGGCCATTGCCAAAATTAGATTGTTTTTAACTCGTTGATATCTGTTTTTACTTTTAGATTTTACTTATGCTATTATGCAGCAAGTCATTTTGGGCACAGGGCGTAAAAAGGATGTCTTTTAAACGTCTTCTGAGCTTTTTAGACACCTTTTGAAGGTTCTAAAAAGTTCAGACTTTTTTAGGTCCAGTGTCCACTAGGTACCTATTTTGAGAACATCTCAAAAAAATATCAGAGTGGGTATGAAGGAGAAAATATTTTGGATTTGGTTTCTATGCAAACTAAATTTGATCTACTTTAACAAGAGGTTACTTGTTTACCTACCCACTGCCCAAAATATCTTAACCATAAGATGCAAAATAAAATTGTTTCCAATATGTGTAAAATAGTTCAATTCATTTGATCACAAAAATCAAAAATTTTCTTTTCTGTGCAATCATGAAATATATGATTTAAAATTTTTTTTTTTTTTTCTGACCAACAGATGCGCTAATACTTAAGGCATCTAGTAATTTCGGCATATGTTAAATAGCTAAATACTAAAGCATACGATACCTAATTGGTTCTCTTTTATAAATGGAGTGACGCCGCTTACTTATTATAAAATATTAAAAAAGATAATGGCGTTTTTATAATGTTTGAAAACCGCATTATTGGTTCTTTACCATATTTTATTCTACAAAAGACTATCAGATTAATTATGTTGACCTTGTAAAGGTCATTAAGCTATTTATGATTTATTTTAAATGTAAAAACTTCAATAAATGTCGCAATGAGTAATATTATAAAAAAAATACAAATAAATATACAATAAACTAACAAGCTGTTTTGAATTTTTTCATTTCAGCTGTTGATAATACATAAAAAAATAAGTTGTGCATTTTTATCAATTATTTCATGAATATTGCTTCCAAAACAAGATTGGTACACACGAAAACTAGAAAACACTTAAATTATATTCCTATTACGAAAAAACAAACATACAAAATAATTCCTATTTGCTTTAAAAAGTTAAATTATTATTTTGCTACCACAATTATAATGTTGCAGAAACTAAAAAAAAAAAATTCTCGCGTTTTTTATGTAAAAATAAAGTTTATTAATACTGTTTTACTAAGTACTGAGTTTTTTTATAGTTATGTAATAAAAAGAGTTTTTAAATTCGATTTTACAGCTTATAAGTAGAATACAAAAGTAAACAGTTAAAATTTTAACTATAAGTTTTTTCAAGGATTAGCTCCGTATTTAATTATTAGTTCTGTTTGGAAAAGCTTATCACATAAAAATTAAACACCATCCCAGCTAACACAAAACATTCAACAAACGTTCAAGAACGTTCAATGAACGTTTATAAAACGTACTTGAACGTTCACAACGTTCGTTAAACGTTCTTAAGCGTTTTGTGTTAGCTGGGATTGGAGTGAAAATGAAATAGCAGGAAAAACTGGCTTACCTCAAAAGAATTAAAATGTCAATAACAAAATATGAAGTAATGTTACAACTGTAAAATTTACGAGCAAATTTACTGTTAATTTTAATGGTAAATTTAAAAAAATTACTAGCAGGTAAAATTTAAATTTTTATTCTACGAATAATTGTCTAAACATTTTAATCATGAACTTAATAAAAGCTTCAAAACCTGTTTTAGAATTTAAATTTGCCTGTAACTTTACATTACTAACCTGAAGCAACCAGTCAAGTGCGCATTCCCATTTATTTCTATCTAACGTTTGAAATTTTGTTTGAAAAACAAACAAAATCAAATTTCTTGAGAGCGGCAATTTATTAATTGCTGCAGTAGTTATTTCTATCAGAGGGAGGTTTTTTTCATCTTTTATTAAATTTTAACGAACAAAGTTTAGTAAATATTTTTAAAGCAGTGCTTTTTATGGAAGCGCAGGTGCTGCAAACATTTTTGATAGATGAATGAGATTTAGTTTTTTAACAGCTTTCTCATTATTTTGTTTAGTACAATAGAAGTTCTAAAGAAAAATCTGTTTGTTATAGTTAAATGATTAAAACTGTCTTCTTTAAAGTTGAAGCTTTACAGTACTTTTAAGAAAAATATTTAATTTTTTGTTCAATTTTACCACAGTGAGAAACTATAACATCTATATTGCAGTCTATTTGGATCATTAAAATAACCACAAACAAATCAGACACTTAATGGATGACAATTCACTCTAGTTTCTACTGTTATTTAGCCTAAATAATATCTGGATTTTAAAAAGGAATTATTCTGCTCAAAGTCTAAATGGTTATTAAACACATTTTAAAATCATTCAACTACCATTAGAGCAGAACCAGGTCCAGGGATCAGAAACTGAACCAGATCCTGCTATGGAAAGTTTAATGTTAAGTAAATTAAAACTATTCGTGTTGACTTCGCAATACAAGAGAAAGATTTACTAGAAGCTCAAGAAATTCATGTTTCATTTGCAGACAATAATGGTGTGTTTAGTGCATAAGTTTTGAGGTCGTTTAAAAAAAATCTAAAGTGGGAAAAAAATAAGAAAAAAGGGGTTAAAAAAAAAGAAAAAAAAAAGTGAACTAGAAAAAAGTAAGAAAAGGGGGTAGGAAAAAAGAAAGCACAAAAAATATAATCAAATTCATCAAATTTAAGTGTTAAAGGAATAGGAATCTGTCTAAACGAAAAAGAATTAAAAGTTTACTTAAAATTAAAATGAATAAAAAAAACAACTATAAAAAAAAAATTGTAGCAGAAAAAAAAAAAAAAAAAAAAAAAAAAAAAATAATAGAAAATATAAATAATAGAAAAAGTTTGAATCACAAAAATAACTTTATGGTAAGGAATTAAATTTTTGGAAATGTATTTTTTTTAAGTCCTACATAATTGAAAATGTACTTTTTTTGAGTCCTACATAATTTGAGATGTGTTTTTTAAAGTCCTACATAAATGGAAATGTTTTTTTTTTTAACTTGTGACAATGGTAATGATGGTGATTACAATTTTAAAACAATTTACATTACGTTACAACAAAATTTTTTTAAATATTTACCATCTTGTTATTAATTACTATATTGGTAAAATACAAAAAAATGAAAGACTAAAATATTTTCAAACAAAAATAAATAACAACTCTTAAAAATTTTTACTTGAATCAGATGCTTACTTATGTTAAGCGTGTTTTTTTTATTTGCCAAATTTAAATTTTACCAACTCCGTCTAGAAAACTAAACCGCGAGTGAGGTTAACACATTTTTTTATATTTTGCCAACTCCTCGTAGCAAACAAAACTGCAAACGGGGTTAACTCACTTTTTTAGAGGCTCTATATAGGAAACAAATTGTTTTTTATGAATATGTTTGCCAAATTAATGTTATTATGACCTACAGTTTATCATTAAAAAAAAAAATAAACAAAAAATAAAAAGAAACAAAAACAGATGAATACATAGCCCAAAAACTATACCCATAGCCAAGGTCTTCCCTAAGATTAGATAGAAAAACAAATTAAAAATAAGTTTAAAAATGCTGACTTTTTTTCACATTTAAAGCAGGTTTTTAAAAAGTTTTGCCTGCTGTGCGTTTTGTTTTGAGATGGTTCTTTGTTGTATTTTTTCCCTCTTCTGATAAGTTTGCGCAGTTCAAAGATGTTTTTCTCAACAAAACATTTGAAAAATTCTTAACTTATATTTACTGAAATAAAAATTTAAACTTTTCAAAATGGGTAACCAAAGTCATGTGACCTTAATTTTTTATTTAGGTATGACAAATCAGAGTGATGTTATATGCCGTTTACCTTTCGTTAGAATTGCCAATGGATTAAACGGCTCCTTAATGAGTGTTATTTACACAACATTTGGCGTTTTCATATTCCTCTCCAACCTTTTGTTATTAAAAGGACTAATTAACACGCGCAACACGTGCAAATGGAAATGTCATTCGAACAACGAAAAACTAGTTTTGTTATTAAACAACACGCGTAATTGGAAATGTTATACGAACAACAAAAAACTAGTGTTGTTATTGTGTTCTATTGATTTGTTGATCGGTTTAATTGTTATACCTCTTCAATTTGTTTTGTTTATAAAACTAAACGTAATATCTTGTTTATTTATTTCCATTACAGGATTTTGGATTGTATTTCTTTTGGTGTTTTCAGGATCTATTGTCGTATCGATATCAATAGAACGTTTTGTTACAGTATTGCTCAATAAAAATTGTTGTGGTGCTTATTTTAAAGATGTTTACGTACTTTGGATTATACTTTTTTATTTTTTAATATCTATTGGATTAGGTATTTGGTACGCACTTCTAGTTTATTTACAAAGTTCACTTCGTCAGCAATCTATCTACTTTTTTAGTATGTCATCATATACAATCATAAATATAATGGTAATGTTTATCATAAACACATTACTATTGGTTGGAACCAAAAAGATGATTAGAATCAAAGAAATTCATGCTCTAGAACATGATGTTGTAGAAAGGAGACTAAATCAAAGCATAACATTGATAACAACCTCTCTAATCATTTTATATTTACCTTCAGTTTTTGCTGGATATCTTCATGCAGTAGAGCTATACTTAAATAGATTTAAACAGTCTGGTTATAGTTGGACTATTGTTTTATGCGAGCTTAACTCGGCTGTAAATGCCTCCATATACCTGTCCAGAAACAGAAAGTTTCTAAAAATATATAGTTGTAACTTACGTTCATTTGCAAGAAAGTTTTCAAATAAAAATGACAGAAAATGCCTCTTTAAATTATAAACATTAAAGTAAATAAATAAATATCAAATATAAATATTACGACTACACGGGAAGTAAAGTCACGTTTTATTTTAAGATAACTCATTTTAAACATATTCGTTTTTAATCAATTTAAAAATATTTTAATGTTTAAAGTATATTGTGAGGCTGTTTCTATAGAAACAGTTATATATAGCTATGTGTAATTAAAATTATACTTTTAATTTAAGTACAGTAATTTATATTTTAGACTTTTTTTTTAGCGAAGTATTTTATCGACTCTTTTTTCAGTTTTACTAAAAAGCTATAATATGAAATATTTTATCTTAGCTTAGAGATGTAGTTTGACATATAGTATTTCAACAAAACTTGCCACCATGATCTTATAATGCATATATATATATATATATATATATATATATATATATATATATATATATATATATATATATATATATATATATATATATATATATATATATATATATATATATATATATATATATATATAAGGAAGTATTATATTATATATAATAATCCCTATACAGTCTTTAGGATCAGTAAAAGTTGTATATACTTTAATTTGCGGTGATAAAGTTTAAACTTTTTAATTTTTTTTTCCTTTTTAACAAACTTAAAGCATTTCAATCTTTTACATTCAATTCCTGTTTCTAAAGTTATTTGTTTTAACATTCATTTACGCAAATATTCCTCATTTTTTCTTTTCTTATATTTCTTTGACATTTTTAATGGTTCGACAAGTAATGCCGTTTTTATTATCAAGTTTAAGTTAACCAGAGATTGTTTTGAAAAACAAATACATTGTCTTAACATATCTCTTAATATAAGTGTTTTAATATCTCTAATTATATGTCTTGACATTTCAAATAATAAAGAAATTGTACTTAGTTTATAATTATTCGTAAGTTCCGAATATTACTGTTATTTATAAAAACTTATGTTTTTTGGGGAGTCATGGGTAATTATCATTATTTTATCTCAGACTACGGCTTCAACATCACTTTTTAAAAGTGCAACCTTTAATGAAAGACGGCATATTTGAGCGAATAATTGCTGCACATTTAAAGATATCAATGACACAACTGTGTATAAAATCATTCAATGCGTAAAGTCAAGAATTAAATCAGAAAAGTTCAGTCGAAGATCAAGAAGCGATAATTGATTGTATACAATCAAAAAATTGATTGTATACAATCAAAGAATTGATTGTATACAATCAAAGAATTGATTGTATACAATCAAAGAATTGATTGTATACAATCAAAGAATTGATTGTATACAATCAAAGTTCTTGCGTATCGTATGCGAACTTGAAAATACGTTTGTATACGATCTTGTATATTGTTTAAAAAAGTATATACCTTTTTTTTTTAAATATCGTCATGATTGCCTTTACTTCGCAAATAACGCAAAGATTGAGCTGTTAAAATGTGGCGATGCGTCAAGTTCTTAAACGAAACCCACTTACGCAGTTTGCAACACACAAAATCCACGTTTTACCAACTACTAAACTCACGCATCACTTCCGATACGTTGTTTATATATATATATATATATATATATATATATATATATATAATATATATATATATATATATATATATATATATATATATATATATATATATATATATATATATATATATATATATATATATATATATGTTCTAAAAATCTTCTTTATCATAAAAAAGAGAGAAAACAAAAAACAAAAATTAATGAAAGTTAGAAAGAATAAGAATAACAAAATTGTAAAAAGATACATAAAAAGGAAAGTATAGAAAATTATTTTTATTGGTACTGCTATTGGTTAACTCTTATTGTTGTTAGTTTACTTTCTTAAATTAAATGTTTTGTTTATCATTTTTTTTTTGTAAGTTTTTTTTGTTGTACGTTCTTCTGTTTTGTAAAGTGCTTTTTTTTGTGTTTTTTGTTTGTTTCAGTTTATATTTTATTTATTTATTTATTACTTTTGTAATGTATTATAGATTTAGTAAGTATAGCAGTTCTTTACACTGGTCCTATACGGAACTGATACCAATCCAAGGCATTACCTGGTGAGGTCAAGTTTATTTGAAATATGATTGGCACTTTATATTCTTTTGGAAATTTGTTTTGGAATTTATATTGGCTTTGAAAGAAAAGAATGTTTGAGGATGCTTGATATAAGAACCTCTAAAGGCAACCTCAAAGTCAAACATCAACGTTGTCAAGTGTGAAGCAAAAGCGCTTTTACATTTTTGTTCAACTAGCGTGCATTACATTGCGTTTGTAAAAGTTAAAAATCACGAGCCATTGTTTATACCATTTTGACTGCATGATTTATGTCTTGTTGTAGTTTTAATGCGTTGTCTCCTGTTTTGATAACCCTTTGAAATCTTATTGAATCTGGTTAGATCTTGATGTGATGTGTCATGATGCTTAGAAGGTTATTTAAGGGTAAGGTAAGGAACATATACAACTGCGAATAGCCATATTAGCATTTTGTCTCAATGAGCCCCTCTATCTTTTGCTAAACGTTTGTAAACCTAATTTCAACTTCACTTAGATCCATTCTACTTTTAACCCTAACCCTAACCCTAAACTCTGGCCTCAAAACTAGTTAGAACAGATTATGGGTTACCCAGGAAACAATGTTTCAGTAAATTTGCAGTGGACCTTTTTTAGCGGTTCGTTTTGCTCATCGGTTACTTAATGAACCATAAGTGACAGTCACTGTAAATGTCAAGTCGATAACTTTCCGACATGTAAATAGTGGCTAGTCATCGGCTAACCGCCTTTCGCGGCTGCTACTAATGGTCCACTAAGTAATCAATGAGCAAATCTACAGAGGTTCGCTCAAAATGCCTATACTATAATATATATATATATATATATATATATATATATATATATATATATATATATATATATATATATATATATATATATATATATATATATATATATATATATATATATATATATATATATATATATGGCGTCTTGATGAGTTTATGCTCACAAATTCACTTTTACGTTTTAGTGACTTTGTGAGCATAAACTTATCAAGAAAGCGGGCACATGTTTTAGTGGATTTGCAGTGGACCAATATAAGCATTTTTAAGCGGCTCATTGGAGTTTTGCTCATCAATTACTTAATAGACCAATAATGGCAGCTGCTATAAATGGCCAGCCGATACTTTCCGACATGTTAACAGTGGCTAGTTATTGACTAGCCACTTTTGGCGGTTGCCACTATTAGTCCACTAAGTAACCAATGCGCAAAATTACAGTGGAACGCTCAAAATGTTTATTGTCCACTAAAATTCCGCTATAGAATGTTTGCTGGGTAATATTAATAAGTTCAGAATCCCATACAAAAGTTTACATTTAAAATTTACATAAAAAAGAAAAAAACATAAAATAACAAATCAATTGAGTTAACAAAAACTTTAATATCAAATAAAAATTGATTTACATAAAAGAATCTTCCTCTGTTGTTTTATTATTTGTTTTTAAGAATAGGTTAAACATTTTTTGTTATAGCGTTCACAATAAAAAAAAAACTCTTTATATAGATAAAAAATTTAATCGTCACTTAAAAAATTATACGCATGAACTTTTTTAAATACTATTTAAAGTTTTTTATTTCCGTTTTGATCTTTATTATATTTTTAAAAAAAAATTATAAAGTATTAGGAAAAAAAAAAAGATTAGCACACAAATCTTTTTGAAAAAAATCAAGCTGAAAAAGGGTGCAGCGATTTTCCATGGAGGTGGTTGGTTTTTTTGTGAACACGTCCTTCCTCATGATTATAACCTCCTACATGAAATGGGGTTTGTTTTTACCAGTAATTCAGGGAAATTTTTAAGTATGTTTTTTTTTTATATGTAATTGTCCCAGCAAATATTCTATAGCAGAATTTTATTAGATAAGCGTTTTGAGCGAACCACTGTAGTTATGCTCATCGTTACAAAGTAGACCATTAGTGGCAGTCGCCAAAAGTGGCTAGCTTATGATTATCCACTATTAACATATTCAATACTATCGGTTGGCATTTATAGCGGCAGCCTCTAATAGTCCACTAAGTAACCGATGAGCAAAACTCCAATAAAAAAATAAATAGATTTGAATTTAAAACCTCCAGATTTTAAGTATTTTGATGCGCCTAATTTTGATTTTCAAAAAAATATAGTGATGGAAATTCTTTGACCCAGTTTTTTTGACAGAAGAAAATTGCCAAGCAAACGAAAACACATTTAGCATTTTTATCTTAATCAAAAAATTCTTCATTGTAGAAACTGTCAACAAATGTTTGTGACATTAGACACAGCGAAACAAAAATCTCGAAAACGAAATGTTCTTTGGCTGTAAAATTTGAAAAGTCACTTTACTTTTAAAAACAAAGTGAAAAACTAGAACAAAGTTGTCTTTCAAACAGTTTTCTTCAAAAGTCCTCTGCAAAGTGACAAACTAATGAAGTTGTTTTTCAAACAGATTTTTTTTTTAAGTTTGTTAAAAGTGCAACAACTTAAACTTACTTGTTGAAAAAAAAATTGAAAAAAATGAAAAATCACTGAAAAAGAAGCTTGTAAAAACTCTATTCTGAGCATTCATGTTTATTAAAAAACATTAAATTTTACGAATTCTGTTTTGATATCAAATTTGTTTTGTCTTTGATTGTCTACGGTTACCACCACCACTGTAGATTACGGTTACCACCACCATAAGGTACTAAAAGTTATACTAAAAATAACTCATTACTGATTGTGTTGTGTTAGATTTTCCTTATATAATACTTGCTTTTCTACTTTCCTAATTAAACTACTCAGTAAATAGTTATGGAAATCTCACAGTTTACCTCTATTTTGTTGTTTAACGATTCTGTTACATAATATATTGTCTACATTTGCATGCATTTTATAAAAATATTTAAAAAAATTTCTTTTTTTCTAATTCTATTTAGGTGCCCCAAGAAGTTCTTACGGACTTATAACAGATGAGCATTTAATTAGAAATTCACGCCTCCTTCAAAACCGATGTCGCAAAACTTGCCTAGCGGTGGTTTTTGAACCACGGATCATTTGTTTCTGAGGCAAGTGCGCTACCACTGCGCCACAGTTGCTCCGTTTTTAACGGATAACGAAATTAACTAAACATCTTCCAGAGCGTTTTTTAACTGTATTTTGTTCTGTACTAATTACTGACTTTACATCAGGTTTTGTTAATCTGTGGTCCGTGGACTCCTTGGGAATCCATGGCATGCGTCATGGGAGTCAAGGCACGGATTTAGAAAAAGTTATGGTGTGGAATTTTGATTTTTTAACGGGAAAATTTATAATTTTGATTAATCGCTGATAACATGATGTTCGCAATCCAATATCAAATAAAGGAAATCTTTAATTTTTTATTAATTAAAGTGTATTTTTGTAAAAAATATTTTATTCTTTTTTATAGTTTGTTAAAAATGTCTAAATATATACGTTTATAGTATATACTTTATAGATTTATATACTATGTAGGTGTATATGTTACATTAAAATATTTAAGTTGATAGATGTATAATATATATACAACGTGTACATAATAAATGGCATGGCTAAAAAACCAAATATGTATTATACCTATTTGTTAAAAAAAAATCAAATGCAATAGGGGTCTTAATACGTCATTCCAAAAACAAGATCAAAATAAAAACCTTTATATTTAACATTTTAAGCAAGTTTTTAAAGAATTTTGCCTGCTGTTCGTTTTGTTTTAAGATCTTCCTTTGTTATATTTTAACTTTACATTGTTAGATTCTATTTGTGATAAATTTGCGCATATAAAAAATGTTTATTTAAACATTGTTTTAAAAAATTGCTGCTGAAAATTAAAGAAACCAAAAATCAAAATACATTAGTACAAAAAAAAGTAACTGAAGTTATTAGGCCATAGCTTCTTATTCACGTATGACTAATCAGAGTGATGTTATTTGCCGTCAACATTATGTTGGAGTCGGCAGTGGAATAAAAGGAGTTTTTCTCAGTATGATTTACGCAGCATTCAGTGTTTTTATAATAGTATCAAACCTTTTACTATTAAAATTGTTAAGCAACACGCGGAAAAAGAAATACTCTACAAACAATGAAAAACTTGTGTTGCTATTGTCTTTTGTTGATTTGGTTGTTGGTTCGGTTGTTATACCTCTTCAACTTGTTTTATTTATAAAACTGAAAGCGGTATCTTGTTTGTTTATTTCCATAACAGCATTTTGGCTTGTATTTCTTTTGGTTTTTTCAGGCTCAATTGTTGTCTTGATATCAATAGAACGTTTTGTTACAGTATTGCACAACAAAAGGTTTTATGGTATTCATTTTAATGGTGCTTGCATAATAACAATTATTATTTTTCAGTTTTTAATATCTTTTGGATTAGGTATTTGGTACGCACTCCTTGTTCCTTCACCAAAATCACTTCGCCAGCAATCTATCTACTTTTTTAGTATTTCAACATATATATTTCTTAATATAATATTGATATTCATCATAAATACATTGTTGTTGATAAAAACAAAAAAGATGATGAGAATCAAGGAAATTCATGTGGCGGAACACAATGTCGTTGAAAGGCGTCTAAATAAAACCATGATGCTAATATCGACTTCGCTTATGATTTTATATTTACCTTCAGTTTTTGTTGGCTACACCCACGCCGTAAACCTATATTTAAATGTATTGAAACAGTCAGGTTATATTTGGACTATTGTTTTATGCGAATTTAATTCCGCCTTTAATCCATCTATTTATATATCTAGAAATAAAAAGTACCTTAAGTTATATAAATTTAACATACGTTTGTTGATTCGAAAGTTTTTAAATAAAAAAAACAGCAAGGTCTATCAGTCATAAATATAAAACTAATAAACAAAGACCCTACGTTTATGAGAATAATAAGAAAAAGCGCAGTTTTTCCTGTACGATCACATCTCATTTGGAACACTTTTTTGGAATAAAATTGTCGCATATGCAATTAATTAGATTACATTTTTTTATATTTAATTATATCAATCAATTACAATTTTACTGATATTGTGTCTTGCATGATAGTTTATGTTTTTACTAAGCTACTCATTTTCCTTCTTAGTTTTTTTAAACTGATTTCCCGAAAAACACCATTGAGCTTATTTTCTTAAAATTTATTGGGGAGGCTGCATAAGCGCAAATTGGCATATATGCGCACTGGTATAAGTGCGTTATGTTGCAAAAACTGGCACAAGTGCGAACTGGCATATGTGCAAATTGGCATAAGTGCGCTAAAATTTTTTGCAAACATTGGCATAAGTGAAAATTGGCATAAGTGTGAACTGGCATAAGTGCGAAGCAGTTGTAAAAACTGGCACAGGTGCGAGCTGGCATAAGTGCGAATTGGCATAAGTGCGCAGAACAAATTTGCAAACATTGGCATGCAGTTACAAAAACTGGCATAAGGGTGCCGAATAAAATTTCAAATATTAGCATAAGTGCAAACTAGTATTTCGCACTTGAATAAGGGGGGGGGGGGGGGGGGAGGGGAATAAAGTATCTTTTATGCAACAAAAAAGAAAAGGTTGGTTTTTTCTGTGGGAAGGACCAATGAAGTAAAAAGTAATTCCACGGACGCCATATGTATCATTTTTTTTAATTTTATTACATTGGGAGACTAACCTTTTTTACTTAACTACTCTAGATTTATTAGCTGACAGCGCCATTATTACAATAAGTATAAAAATTTTAATGTGGCTAAAAATTTTGTTGATTCGTTGAAGACGAAATATGTGTGATGTTTTGTCTCCGACTAATTTTTATATAAAGAATCGAAGCCATAGAAATCATTAATATTATATATATAGACTTACAATAACTATATCATACTACTTGTTTGCTTGACAATATTATGCTTATGCAAACCTATTCTAAACAGTCGAGTCAATATTGGCAAAGCTTATTTTGTATTATTTTAAGTTATCCATTTAATAATGAAGTTATTTAAAATGTTGCCTTGGCTATTTAGTTCATAAATTAGACATAATACTTGTCTAACTCACTAAACGAAGTGCACCAATGAAAAGGTGAGCCATAGGAGTTTACACTCCATCTGTAAACTGTTGTGATGTCTAAGCTTAGCACTCCATTTATGGATTCTTTCCGTTTCTTGATAACTGGTTTCGTTAAAGTAACAGTAATGTTGTCTAAGGTTAGCCCTTCATTTCTAGATTCTTTTTTTTTATGATAGGCATTTTGCACAAATACTTTTGTAACATTTTATAATTTTTTTTTGTTATAAATTTTAAAAGATAAGTATACAAGACAAAATATAATACAACAAATAAAGTAATAACTAAAAAAGTAACAACCTAAAAACGTATCACCTAAAAATGCTTTCAACATTAAGAATAAATAGAAATAGCAAATGAAACATGAGTTTCTCAGTTTATATAAAACAATGAATAGTAATAATTTCCAATTATTAGATTTTCACAGTTTATATGTTTAAAACAATTAGTAGAAATATTTTGGTATTGAAATAATTTACATATTATTTAAAAGATACTTTTAAAGCATTAGCGAAATTTTTTACTTCATAAGAAAAGCCTCTATAACGTTGTGAAAGCCATTCATGTTCATAAACTTTAATGTATCTGAAATAGTAGATGGTGATTCTGTCTTTTCTTTCCATAATTCACCCCATAGCTCTGATTTAACATTAATGATGAGAAATGAGGAAAATCAGTTTTATAAAAATTCAAACAATAAGGAGCTTTTTTTTCCATAGACAAGATCTAAAATATTGCTTCGTTAAATTAGCATTAATAGCACATAGACCGTTATAAACAATTAGGCTCTTTTTTGAACTCTTACTGTTTCTTTATTGTACTCTTTTAAATTATTGTCTTTCATTTTTTCGAAAGCAAAAAAACTGTAGAATGATTATCGAAAAACACACCAAGTCCACAAAGCTTTTGTACCCACCAAGTTCAACGTGTGTCAATAAGTTTTGCTTGACCTTTTAAGCAATTGCTTCTTTTAGGTGAAAATTTAAAAAAATAAGATATGTCTTTAACTTAATGAAGCAAAGTTTTTACTTGCTGGATTTAGCAACTTTTCCCAACAACTAAACCAAGTTTATGTTAGGCACAGTGGATAAAAAATGCTATAGGAATACCATTTATAAGTTAAAACACCTTTTTATTCACCTAACATAGAAGCAGCTCCATCATAAGACTGGGCTCTATATTTTCTCATATATAAACCAAATTCCTCTTGAAGTTTCAAGAATGTTGGTAGCTATGTAACGGGTAAATAGATTCTATCTCTTGATCAGCCTCAATTTAGAGGGTAATATCAATTTAAGGGGGTAATATATCAAAGGGGTAAAATATAATAATATCAATATAAGGGGTAAATAGATTATATCTGTTCACCAGCCTCGCACCCCTTTTTAATCTATTAGGATGGCGCAGATGTATTTTTTAATACATTGTTTATAGTTTAGGATGTTGAATGCTGGATCATCTTGACTCAATGAATGGGTTTTGCTTTTGTCAATGAATGGTTTTTGTTTTGTATTTTTATGACTCAATTGTTTCATTGTTTTATCTCCTAATAAGGTTAAAGCTCCAAAACTCAATTTTAAAAACTGTGATAGCTCTCAAAGAGGCTGATTCCATCAACAGCTGTAAAATATCACAGTACTAAGAGTGCCATGTTGTGCATGGATGGTGCCCCAGTTTTTACTTTTTGTGTGCATTTTCTAGGCCACAATTGGATCCTTTTGTTACGGCTTTGAGTTTATTAATATTAATGAGGCAACTGCTTGGAATATTAAATAGTGTACTGAGTACTATCTATGCTTTGAGACAAGTTCTTTAACAAATTTAAAAATGACTAAAGTACCAAAAGCTATAAAATGCAATAAGCCTTTGTTATCACCAAGATCTCTAAAACTATCCTTCACTAATATTTGTGGTCTTTGAAGTAACTTTTCTTCTGATGAGTCTTATTTCATACAAAGTTCGCCAGAACTACTTGCTTTAAGTGAAACTAAATTGAGTTCGGCTGTCTCATCTTGTTATCTTAGTGTTGATGGCTTTTTTTAATTTGTTAAGACTCTTATAGTCACATACTTGGTCTGGGCATTTACATTCGTAAGAATTCACCCATTTATCGGAAAACTAGTTTTGAATCCACCGACTATTCTTTTATGTGCTATCGTTTAGCACTACTTCCCTCGATAAGTTTTCAAATTTGGTTTTAAGTATACCTTAGACTTTTCTTTCATAATCTTCCCAACTTTTGTTTTCTTATTCCTCAATGCCATTAATTCACAAATATTTTTGTTTACTTCTATCTTCTAGCTCTGGCAACATGTCTTTCATGGATTTAGTTTCAATATTTTCAAAAATATTTGGTTTACTGTGATCAGACTTTGCTTCGGCAAGTTCAACTAAAATTTGTCATATTAATCACTTGTAAAATAAGCAGATTTTTTTATATTGTTAATTTCCAGTTTCAGGACTTTATTTTCATCTTTTAAAGCATTCACTTAATTAATTAAAAAAGCTTTGACCCAAAAAGCAGCGAGCAATTGATTCTAATTTTACGAGTAACTATAACAGTTGCTTTTTGTTTTATTTTTTGATTTCTAAAACATTATGTTCAAATTTTGGGCAAAATTGATCTATGAATGTTGAAATGTTGATTTCTGCGCCTTCTGCCGTCTACCAAGTTATAGGGAGTAAAATATATATTCTTTTTAAGTTATTCAATAAAATCCCATTTTTAAATATTTGAATTTCTATTAGAGTTTATATACGAATTTAAATTGTTTTCCTAACAACCGTCTAGAATAAACCGATGGATATATATATATATATATATATATATATATATATATATATATATATATATATATATATATATATATATATATATATATATAATAATAATAATAATAATCTAATAAAGATTTCTCGCCAGTTAGTTTTGATAAAAAAATGAGAAGTGCATATCAAATACCAAAACCAAACGGTATTAAAAAATGAAGCATCTCGTAAACTTCTCAAAAGTAATTCCATTAGCATTATGTGAACAGTCTAAAAGAAATTCCTAAACACTTGTTCATAACTGTAGCATACCAATCTATAGTTATAGGAACCATACTGCAGCCGTTTTTCAAAACGCCTTAATATGCTTATTACGCATATCGAGAAAAACGCAACAAAAAAAATTTATTGGCAGAAACTCTTTTAAAAACGTTTTTGAAACTGATAATTTTTAAAAATATTTTCAGAACTTTTTGAAAATATATATTTGATAACGTTTGTATACATCTAAACTAGCTTATTTTGCAAGAAAGTCGAAATTGATTTTTTTTACCTTAGACGTTTTAAAAAAACGGCTGCAGCATAGTTGAGCTTGAAAAAATTAGAAGAAACACAACAAAAAATCCGAATTTGGAAATAATTAAGATATTACATTGACTTTTACTAGGAAAAGTTAAAACGGAAATTTTAATAATATAGAAATCAACATATTTTCTTGTTTTTTTATTGGTATATTTAATAGTTTATGTATATATTTTTTATTTATACTACTAGAAATATTTTTATAGTAGTATAAATAAAATTTTATTTTTTAAGTAAAACAGATTTACAGACTCAAAGAAGATAAGGATGACAGAACGTCATCAAAATCTTTTCATAGAACCCCTTTAACAAGATTTAGTTAAAATATCGTAATATGACATACAAAATAAAAATGTCAATAAAATATTGGTACCTTCAATAATATATAAACAAAAAATTGGTACCTTCAATAATATATACATGTTTTTATTAATGCAATTACATTTTTTATGCAATTTTTTAATAGATTTTTTATCAAAAAATCTTATTTCTCCTAAAATGTATGCTTCAATTCAACTGCTTATTGACCTTGACATAAAAAATAAATAAAAAACTTCATTTTTCAAAACCAAAGCA